AAAAAATGACCACAGCTGAAAAGGGCCAACAGGTTTCATATTTCTACACAGCAGTCAAGAGTCAGTTTAGCTCAGTGGTCAGAGCCTCGGCTCACATCCAAGAGGCTCTCATTTTACCTTCTTGGTCATGTTTTTGATCCTTAAGCCACAAAACAAAAAGCGCCAAGCGGGACAAACACCGCAGAGAGAGGTGATATAATTATGGATCACCTCTCTATTGTGGATCCTTGGCGCTCACAAGGGGGCACCCTTTGCAAGACCGTTGAAGTGAAGCTTTCTATAAAGGGTTTAATAAGAAATCGATAGCTTTGGAAGTTGGAAGATTTTAGATTGTCTTGTATTGCGCTCTCTTTTGTTATAAGGGAAATGTAAAGGAAAGCATTCTCAAGCAAGCCAGGAGCCACAACAATAGAGAGAGGTGCTATAAATATGGACCACCTCTCTATTGTGGATCCTTGGCACTCACAAGGGGTACCCTTTGCAAGACTGTTGAAGTGAAGCTGTAGATACAGGGTTAACATAGGAATCGATAGTTTTGGAAGTTGGAAGTTTTGGAAGTTGGAAGGTTTTATAGTTGGAAGTATTGTGCTTTCTTTTGTTAAAAGATAAATGTAAAGGAACACATTCACAAGCAAGCCAAGAGCCACTGTTTATTTATCTATTTATTTATTTATTTATTTTTCGTCTTTTTTTGAGTTCGATTTTTTGTTGTGTTTTTTTTCATTTTTTGTTTTGTATTTTTTGTGTGTTTTTCGGAGTTCGATGTTTTTTTATTATGGATCCAGAAGTGTGGCCCAGTGCTAATTATGGATCATTTTAGCCGAATACCAAATCAAATTAGATCTGGATTTTTCCTGGACATTTGCGTTCTTTAATTTTAGGTCCCCTCACTAATACTACTTTAACATTATGTCTGTTTGTATGTATGTTTCTGGGCGTCAAGGAAATCGAAACACTTGGTGTTGTTGCGCCTTTTCGCATCACTAGCACGTGTTCGCGCACTCCGCGCAAAGATGAAACAAAGTTGCGGTTTGCGTTTGGACAGCCCTGAGCCGCAGGTTGAGTCACAAGGTCGGCGAATCGTCGTTCCGCGGTGTGCAAAGCTCCTCGGATCATTTCGGTGTTTTTGCGTTTGGAGTTCAACCAAAACGGTACAGCAGTAGATGTTCTGTGACCGAGCACTTGATCAACCTGACAGATGCATCAGCGATGAGAATTGCGCATCTTTTTAAGGCTCAGCGATGCGGCCTTCTTTTCCTTTGCAGATCTTTGCGATCGTCCTCTGGGGGCAGCTGACTATTTGGCCGTCGGCCATGCCTTCCACACGGCTCCTCAGCCGAACCATGAAGCATTGATGTTTTTCATGATGAAAACACAGCCATGTTACGCGACACGTGGAAACCAGCTCTTTGCTCGTTTGGCGGCGCAGTTCCCCAGGTTTTTGTCGCAGACATCCCTAGACTAACCATGCAGGAGCCTGCGCAGACCGAGTTTCCAAAATGGTTACCACTGTCCCACCACAGGGATTGTTTGGGCAATGCGCACACAGAATGGCTATTGCAAGTTGTAGCACCCATAGCTCCCAAGCCCGTTCCGACACAGCCGTTCCGAGAGGAGCGAGACCAAGTTCGGCGCTTTATCACCTTGATTGACACCTTGTATGAGACCCACACCAAGCTGGTCTGCACTGCGGAGCTTGATCCAATCCCTTTGTTACTTGGCTAAGCTACATCCATTTCAATGCTTGCAGTGCGTAAAGCACCAAACTGCCACAGTGCCTTCGAACCGAGACTTCAAAGCTTGGATCATGAGTAAGAATGCTGGAGAAGATGCAGATAATGCTTCTAGCGCGATGAAAAACACATTCAGCATTGTTCAGCATCAGGGTATTCATGCTTCAATGCACCGCTTGTAGCGCGATTTTTGAGACTCCATGGCTTCAACGAAGGTTCTACGTTTCTGAAGAGGAGCGGAAGACGTCAGTAGCCGATGAGATCTTTGCATGGGACCGAACAGTTAGCCGCCTCATGGATGCTCAGGTGATATATAAGAAGAAAATCAACAGGCCAACAGCGCACAGAGAGAGAGAGAG